TTGTCTCAACCTGGCAGAGAACCGAGAGCTGGAAACCGAGAGAGACATTTCCAAGTCGAATACATAAATAGGTGGTAACGATCGGACGAAGTAATTCGAGTCAATCGGACACAGATAACAAACAAACGAGATATAATTCGAATAATCGTAAAGTAAATCGTTCTTTCATTTTTTCTTTTTTTTTTTTTTTCGCGCGGTTCGAGTTCGCGATAACAAGATCGCCCCGCCATTAGAAGGACTCGTTAGAAGGCGTCAGGGAATATAGCAATTTACTTATCTACGCGCGAACCTAACGCGAAGCCGCGTGTGTTTCTCATGCTAATTAAGCTCGTAACGTGGCGCAGATAATACCGAACGCTCGCGGTTTTTCGCCTCGCTCCGAAACGGTAGCTGAAATAGAGATCGCCGATGCCGATCGATCATGACAATTAATTAACGAAATTAAACGGTGGGTTAAAAGCAAGCTGGCCGCGGTCGTTACCGGTTGCCGGCGTTGAGTCTCCGACTCGCGGTCCCGTAATGACAGATAAAGGGGAATACCGTGCACCAGGGTATCCAGTTTCAATTACCGAGTAGCACTTAATACTTTGCTTACGCGTAATAGAGCCACGATATACATACCAGGAGGAGGAGGAGGAGTAGGAGGGGACAAAAGTATAAATATGCTCAGGCTGAAGTGATATCGCCGAGAGCGGCGGTTTCGTCAGTTTTATTTATTCCCGGGTCAAGGGAACTCCATTTCTTAAACGCGAAGGTCAAGAAGTCAATGAGATCCGGTTGTTCAGGTATGTAACCGCGCAAGTGCCCGGAGAGTCTCTCACGGGCGTTTCGTTCGATTTTATTCCCTTGTAATTTTCCATGGAATCCTCCACGCGTCGCGCTCCGCCTATCTCCAACATCGACGAGATCAATCGTTCGTCAAAACTTGATCATTTTTTATTCGATGCTCGTACTTACGCACTGTAACTGCGCGCCAAGAAGGTGAGATTGCCGCATTGTGTCAAGTTATGCGTTATTGTTTCGCGTTATTGCAAAAGAACGATAAGCATCGGGGAATGCCACGGTTTTAGTACGCCGCGGCGTTTATGCAGATTAACTTGCGTAAAATTGCTGCGATGATATCTGGACGGGAATGGGTGGCGTTTGATTCGTGTAAAATAAAATGATGATTTATCAGCGGGTCTCCAGCAGGTAGTAAAAAGTTGCCTCGGCTCAAATTCGCGTCACGTTTTCTTGCGAGAGAATGTTTGTTTTATGATTGACATCGTTTTCGTCTATCATTTGTAATCGCAATTAGCTTCGATTCCGGCAGGGATCAACGTTCGTCTTGCAAAAGTACCTACGCGTTCGTAGGAATTGCAAACAAAAAAAAAAAAAAAAAAAAAAAAAAAAAAAGAAAAGAGAGAACGTCGTTTCGAGAGTCGTCACTTTGACAGGTTCCGGTGTTAAAGTTGTGTGTGTACCTAGAACCTTTATCTCGCCGTTCCCATCGCGTTAACTTGTCAGAACGTCACGGCGTCTTACATGCTACTTAGCGCTTTAATTGCATCCAGAATTTTCATTGCCACGTCATTTCCTATTTCTCCTCGTTACTGTTTTTTTTCTTTTTTTTTCTCTTTTTTTTTTTTTTTTTGCTCGTTTTGCATTCGACCGACAACTAAACATCCGGCGCGATTAACAAAAGCTCGCGAATTATGTATTTCTCCCACGTTTCCCGTTAACCTAACCTCCCCGCCCCTCCTTGTGCCCCTCCTTTCGATCGGGCTCGGACTCACGTCGTCGCTTTTAACCGAATGGAAAATCGCGGTTTCCAACTCGGCCAACTATCCCGCGGTATATCTGAAATCTTTATCGCGACCGGGATTTCACGCGCAATGAGGCGCGCTCCGTTACGCTCTGCGTTTTCGATTATCACGCTCGCATCTCCTCGCGTTCACCGCGTTTATATATACGCTCGCCGCATATTTCTCTCCCCGGCATAAATTAGTTTATCTCCCGCAACGGTACACTCTCTCGCGATTTTTTCACTCTGCGTTTGACGAACTTTACTCGTTAGTTGTCGATACCGATGAAAAAGAAACCGCTCCGCCGCGTTTCTTACGAAAATCTCGTCTATTCCTGCGTGTGATTTTTAAATAATACCTTCTGCAGCCAGAGTTTATTTTTCGTTTTCTTGATATACAGGGAGACTGCCTGTGTTTATCACACGTGGTGCGGTTTCGGTTGAGAAAGTCTGAGAAAGTGAAAAAATGGTCGCAAGCTTGGACAAGATTTTGTATGCAAATTTTGAACGTTCTCATCGCGAAATGTTATTCTTGTCTGTCATTTCTGTCTGATTAAATCTTTCGTCTATTTGATTTAAATACAGCTACTGTTACCTGCGTGAGGAAAGTATTGGAAATGTTCCTTTCTCGAGAGTATTAACTAGCAAGGACTTGAACGTGTAAAAAGTAGTCCAGTTCTAGATTTTACGAACATCTATACTTGACCAAATAGCAGATCTGTTTCGCTCGGTCCTTCTTCGTCGTGGAACTTTACACGGACGATCGGTTAAGTTCATAAACAAAACCATGAGACCAGTTGACCCACGGCGAATGTATTCGAGTGCACGTGCACTCGAGCTTGATGAATCTTGTCCAACGAAAATTCCCACTCGCACGATCTGAAACATTTTCGATTTTCCGTCAACACCGGAACTCTTCTCGAACGAGATAATCCTAAAGTTCTAAAATCCGAAAACAGCGAAATAAAGAAACGAAGAAACCAAGAAAAAGTAAAAAAAAGAAAAAAAACTAAAGTTTCCTCGCGTCGTCTCCACCACCAAATTACCTTTCGTCGCAATCAACGTCCCAGAGCCACCCCACGAATCAGAGACACATCCCTCGCCTCCTCCCCAACTCAATTTCACCGGAACGTCTCGCGGGACGCTCGTATTCGAAGCGTAGCGCATAATAAAGGACTCCCCCCCTTCCCCCGACTGTGTGTTCGTAGCGCCGGACATCGGGTGGGTTCTTGTCCCGGCGACTGGCGACCGGTAACGAGACGCCGGGAGTAACCAGAGAATCGCAGCCAGCGGGAGCGAGATCGACGAACCGAGCAAGAGACGAAAGCGCGGAGTCCGTGTGTGTATACGCGCGAGCACGCAAAGTCAAGAAGGAGGAAAAGAGTCTCGACGCTGGGCATCTCGTGCGTGTATACATACGGTGCACGTATATCTATGTATATATATATATATATATACATAGACACGCTATATATACGCGCGTAGATACATATATAGAAAACCGTAGCCGGAATCATGGTGTACAGGTTGTGGCGGCGATGCACGATGCCGCGAGAGCTCGTGAACCATGAGCATGGACGAGGACGGTGGTTGTCGGTTTGCGGCAGTGGTAGTGAGACGTCGTGGCGAGTTGGTGGTAGTAGTGGTAGTAGTAGTAGTAGTGTAGTAGTCGTGATGGCTAGTGGCTGGCGCCGCCGGACGCTCAACAATGGTCGTGTTTCCCTTCTCCCCTCCCAGCGAGATCGCGTACAGCCGTACGTGGCTCTCCTCCACCCCCGCCACCCGCGCCCGGAACCCTTAGCGCGCGCACCCTCCTCCCCCTACCGCGCCGCTCTATGCCTTTTACTCCCTCCCCTCGAGCGCCGTCGCCTCCACCCGTGTCCCTCTCGCCGTGGGCAGCTTTAGCTTTAGCGGCGTCGCCCTTCTCTTCCACGCCCGGCTTGTCCCGCCGACGCCTCTGATCCCATGGTCGTCAAACACCCCCGACTACGGTCGGCTTCGAGCCGAACGATTTTCGCTGGAACAAGCCGCCACTGCCTACGGGGAGGTGGCGATGGCGAGCAGGCGTCCAAGCGGGAATTCCTGGCGGCGTTCCTGCTCACGCCTTTCCGCGAATTATTCCTCGGCCCCGGGGGCTCACGATACATTCGACGTATACATTCAACCACTTCTGTCAGATTTTCTTCCCTCCTTTTTTTCTTTCTCTCTCTGTCTCTCTCTTTGCCTCCCTTTGTCTCGTCCTTTTTCACTGCTTCTTCGGTTAGCCGGCCAGCGCTTGTGAATGGAGGAAAGGGGATGCCTCGGGGGGGGGGGGGGGGGGTTGAGAGAACGTCGTTTGAAAGAATGACGAGATCGATGGTTTGGGAAGATGTTTTTGTACATTGCGTGTACGTGCATGGAGCTCGGTTGCGACGCGGGATTTTCGGTGATGTAGTTGTACAGCTGGCCATGGTTAAGGAAGTACGGTTGAAGTTCTTGGCAAGTTCGTGCGACTTACACGCATTCTGCGGGATATTAATTCACGGGTAGAATATATGAATAAAATAATTACTAATAAATCATACATCACTATATCCGCAATGATTTTGTATACATTTGTGACATAAATCTGTAAAACATATGACGAGAACTATTGCGATAAATTATATGATAAACTGCCAATATAATTTCGAAAAAAAGAATGTTTCAAAAAAATTGTTGCAAAATCTAAGATTCGAAACGAGGAGAATAAATATAAACGAGTAATAATAAATATAAACGTCACTTGGCCCAGTCAATCCGACCAACATTAAGAACAAAATACTCGCGAGACGAGAATTTCAGTTTATGCGCGTTTCCTCTCAGCAACGTGATTTTTCGAAACAAGTCGACGTTCGGTTCACGTGTACCGGCAAATAGCCCGCGCAATCGAGCACAGTGCAAACAAGATTACCGCCGATTACATTATCTCCGACCGCAAATATCGGCCATTTTTTTTCAGCTAGTCGAAACGAAAAGAAACAAAAAGAAAAAGTAGAAGAAGAAAAGAAGAAGAAATTGCCCGTGCACAAATATTTATACCGAGGTGCGCATATAAATAGGTCAGATAACAATCCGTTTCGTGAGCGTTTCGAATCCAACGCTATTTTATTCGGGCAGCGATTGCGCTGTATGGATAGTGGAGGCGTCGCGGGTAGAGCAGCGCGGAGTGGGGGAAAGCTATATAAGCGCGCAGGTGAGGGGCGGAGGCCAGTTGACTTCGATCCGTCGAGCGGTACGTTTGCATCGCACGGAGCACGCTGTTGTACGTTCATTTTCTTGCTCGCTCGTTTCCGACCGGAATATAGTCGTCAGGAAATTTCTCTTCTCGAGTTGGCAGAACAGTTTCGTTGAACGTGATGTTCCACGCGAGTAGTGTGATCGTAACTGCGATAACAAACACAGACGCCCGTTGAAAATAGTGCGTGACCTTCTCGTGTCTCGAAATCGCCAAAAACGTCGCCGAAAAGGAGAGGAGAAACGGTATACACAAAGTGGACGGAATTAGAAAGAAGAACGGACAAACATCGACGAACGTGCGAGTCTCTGCTTCTATCTGGCGCGCTCACTTTGGTGGGTTGGTTCGATCGATAAATACACGGGGTGCGTGCACTGGCGTTCGGCTAGATAAGCAGCCGTATATTTCGGAAGGTGTGCTGCCTGATCGAATTAATCGACGACCCACATATTCGCCGCTTACCTGCTGTCCGATCGGCGGCTGTTCAGTGGTTGAACTATCGTATACGGCGACAGAGGATCCAGCCAGAGGTGAACGAAGAAAAAAAAAAAAAAAAAGAAAGAAAGAAAGAGAAAACACGAACATACGCGTACGACATGAAGGCGATGGTGGTGAGTCCAGTGGGCGGCAGAGTGCCGCCAAGTCGAGGTGTTTTGCACAGTAGCCTCGGAATCAATGGAACTCGTCGTGACCTGGAAGCAGAAGAGGTGGCCGCTTATCTAACCAAGTTGAGATCCCTGGTGCCCGACATGCCGAGAAAACGGAAATTATCCAAGCTCGAGGTTATCCAGAGGGTGATCGAGTACATCTGCGATCTTCAGACGACGTTGGAGGAAACGAACGTTCATCACGAGTCGGCCGTGGCGAAAACGACACCGAGGCAGCCGTTGCAGCCGTTGTTAAACGCCACGACCACCGTACCGACGACGACGACCACGTCGACGACGGCCACCATCACCGGTATGGTCGCAGAACGGTGACCTGTATCGGTGAACGAGCTCCAGTGAGGTTCAGGTCGCTGCGGGCTTCTTATCCTCGTGGGCTGACGGCTTGACCTCCATGTTTCGAACGTCGTGGAATTGGTTCGAGTCATCTTCGGGGAGTTGGATCGAGAACTCGGCTCGTTTGCGGCAGCGTTTCGTCGCAAGGAACGTGTTGGCCGCCGATCGTGTTTTGTGCCCGTCCTCGGCTATATAGAGATTTCTTGAAGGTTCGAAGGATCCACAGGGGAAACGGGGGGGNAAAAAAAAAAAAAAAAAAAAAGAAAGAAAAGAAAAGAAAAAGAGCGAGGACATCGAGCAGGATGCGTGCCTCGACGTCTCTCGAGGCGGCGCCTGAAGAGAAGAACGAAGACGACGTGAAAAGAAGGACGACGAAGCGGGCCGATTACGGCCGATCTTAACTTCTTTCTTCGAGGAAAGATGTAAATACTTGTACATACTCACACCGCATTCCTCGCACCGACAGACCTTCTCTCTTCTCATCTTTTAATCGATTCACTTCTTTTTCGATCCACTTCAAACCTCTCTCTCTCTCTTTCTCTCTTTCTCTCCGCCTTCCGATCCCTCGAATTCTTGCAATCCCTCTCCTAATCCGAGCTGTGTTACGCCGTATATCGTTTTCTCTCGATATCTCGAACAACGATCGCGTTGTTCTTTCTTTTCTCCGACGATATATAGCAACCGTCTTGTTATTTTTCTTTCACGTCCGAATTACAAACACGTACGAACAGATTGTGCCCCTTCATTTCGATTCGCTCTGCAATATCGTAACTGTTCGTCTCGAGGTGAAAAAATCCCGATCGGTTCCGGTACGATTGGTTCGATTTGGAATCTATTGAAAAAGGAAATTTTCGTTTTCGTTCTAGAGGAACGAACGTGTATTTAAGGATCGGCGAAGATCGAAATCGAATTTGAATCACCTGCGTTCTAATTGCAAACTATTACTGTCACCCCGTCGTTTACAACGATGGTCGTGAATGAATGGTCTCTCATTTTCTTTCGTAGTTTTCGCGTGGAGGAGAAATGTTTATCGTCATCGTTGATCAAGACCTGTATTATTTTGAACTCCCCCTTGTAGATAATAAAACGAATTTATTTGTATTACGAATTATTATTACATTAATCGCAATAGTCGATTCTATAATATTATTATATTATATTATTATTATATGATTATTATTATTATTATTATTATTATTATTGTTATTGCTTTTCATATTATAATTTAGAGATTTCCTCCGTAACTATTGTATATTCGCGAAGACTGAAAAGCTGTAAAGTGTAAGTATACCTGATGCGCGCGCGAGCTTGTTACGCTCGCTCGCGCGCGAAATAAAATACAAACTGTGTCCATAAGATTACTCCTCTGTGTGTACTGTGTATTCTCATCTACGGAGCTCCTCACCTCTGGTAAATTTAGTCGATTAAAACTTAACAAGTAAAACCAGCGGACGTATAAACAGGGAATGAAGTTATTTAAAGGTACAGTTCTTACCAGAAATATAGAACGATCTTCAAATCTTTGTTTCGAGTAATAGTTACATACTGAATGAAGCACATTCGCTATTTATGCTCGCGTTGGAAGAAAAAGAAGACAAGAATAATATATTAAAACCACGGTGCTTCCACCGTAAAATCGTAAAATATTTTCTACTCGTAAATGCAAGTTTCCAAAGCACGTATCCTTCCGGTAAGATGTTATCGATAAATTCACACGTGCATCTTACACTTTTGCACCATTCCGCCTTCCCCCAGACAAGTTTACGGCAATTACGCCAGACCTCCAATCCGCGAGAGATCCATCCGACACCATAATCCTTTTTCCACCCTCGGACTTGATGCGCGTACGTATACGTCGCGCTAAATTGCCCAAGGCACCCGGGTGATAAAGACTTAATCATCGAATACAAACGATTCGAATAGGCGATGCGTGTTTCGTCCCTCCGAGAGCAGGTGGCCATTTAACCAATGGAATCAAACGGTCCCAATAAAGGGATATTCCTCGCGAAACACGGCGAATAAGGAATCCCGGGGATATTAGATGGAGAAAAAGGGACTGTTTCTCAGTAACGACCCCCATCGGCAGTTTCTTCTCGTTAGGTCGTTCCCCCTTCCTCCCGTTGCTGCTTTCAGCGATAAATCCGCGATCGTCCTGTGGAACACGCGCGGGGTGGGCTTAAATGTACCACACGTGTACGTAATAATCCGTGCACACGTGCGAGGGAAGAGGCCGGCGGTGACGGCGGTGGCGGCTCTTCGAACGTTCGTCCTCGTCATGGCAAGGAGAAAGGACGACAGGGGCCGGCGGTGGTCGCCAACGATGTATCGTTGTAGGAGTTTCGCCAAGTTACCCCGTATTGATCGTGTGTCCCCTGTCCCGGGTCGCGTGCGCGTTCCTGGGAACCTCGAGACCACGGAATACCCACGGGAACTGATTCCGTCCGAGCGCGTGTGTCCCCGGCCCGGCTGCCTCTCTCTCTCTCTCTCTCGTCCCTTCGGCCACTCGAGCTTGCTTCGTATTCATATGGAGAGATGGGGAGAAAGCACCGAAGGGAATGACAGAGAGAGAGAGAGAGAGAGAGAGAGATACTGAGGGAGGGTAGCGGACAAACCACTCGACGCGAACCACCAAGCTGGATACATGCGTGTGCACGCGCTAATAAACGAAAGTGGAGGCTGACTCACGGCAGCGCACCCTCCTACGCGGGCTGAAAGAGCTGAGCTGATCGATGCTGGGGATAAAGAGCGCGAGCTCGTGTACTCCGCAACCATCACCTTGCGAGCGTGTAACGACGCTTAAGTGACCGATATGACTTCTGCTTGCCCACGCGTACCTCGGTCACGAGATACGTGCTGCCAAGACGGTTTTAATAGATCGGTAGTAGATCTACCCCCGAGGGGTAGATTTCAGTCGAGTTACGAACGGCTACTAAAACATATATATATATATATATATATATAGAGGGTTGGTCGAGTGAGTTTTTTAATATTACCACAGATGGACGGGGATGGAGGGTGGTTTTCTTCAATATATAATAGCAGAGGTACAAGCGTAAAAGTATTTATTTCAATTTTCTCGATTATAGTATGTGATATAAATGGATTCCTGCAGCTACACGCTTGTTTCTTTTTTTTTATTTTTTCTTTAGTCTTCTTGCTTCACTCATTTTTTACTCTTTACGATATAAAAGTGGTAAACGCTAGTGCGCGGATTCGACACATCGTACCTCGTCGGGGGAGGGAGAGAATTCACGTACGTGAAAAAAAGAAAAAAAATCACGAAACTGAGCAAGTAAATGCCAAATGATACAATGCAGCAGTTAAGAAAAAAGAAATGCCATCCTTACACGATGATATTCGATATCTGTAACCATCAGCTTGTTGTAGCTCTTGTACATTCATTCGAAAGTATTGCAACGAAATTTGCGGTGGAACAGCTACGTATGTACGCGATCGAAGTTCCTTCAAGCAACTGTTGTATACGTGTACCTGTCTGTTATCTGTATGTGTGTGTGTGTAAATGCAAATTCTACGATGTCGTGTGTTACAAGAGGATCTTTGTAATCTTTTCTTTTTCTCTAAACTGACTCTCGAAGCAACTCTTGTTCTGCAACAAACGGCATGACTTTCCGATTTCCTATTGTATCAGAAATTGTAACAAGATAGGGACAAGAACTCAAGACGAGAAGCGACTCGTGACGACTACTAAACGTGAGTGACCAGGTATTCCTTGATAGAGTCTTTGTCTCTGGCAAGCCATGCCGCGTTCAATCTGATGGACTCGATGCTCTGTTGGATCGTTCTTTCGGTGCCCGGTGTTGGATGGTTCTTGAAAAACTCCTCGACGTCTTTGGCCCGTTCTTCGGTGACGAAATTCTCCGTGGTGAATTTCACCAGTCTGGAAATCAAGAAACCGCCGCCGTAACGATCGAACAACGTTTTCCAATTTTCCTTGAAAAAGTCCCAAGCCATCACCCGGCCTTTGTAAGTCATCGCCACCGACATGATGGCGAACACCGTGTCCTGAGCTCTCACTTCGTCGCTCATGGCGAAATCCAAGACCTTCGCCAGCAACGTTTCGTCCTTAATCGCGCCGAGAGCTCTCAATATTCTGTCTTTCTCCTCGTGCAAGTCCGCCTCTCGATAAAGCCTCAGCATGGTTTCGTAAGTTTCGGCATCGCCGACGGAAAGTACAGCCCGGTAAACAGGACTGCGTAAATCGGCAGCGAGCAGCGTAGTGCCGGAAACGTGCAACTCGAATCTCTTCTTCGCCTCTTGTATAGTATCCTCGTCGTTCAATGCTGCCATACGACCGAGAACAAGGGATCGCAGAAGGGTGTCCAGGTGGCATTCGTTCGGTTTCGGATCCCAACCCAGTTTATCGGTGACATCGCGCATCAAACTACGTCCGAACGCTTTGAACGAATCCTCGAAATCCAAGTGAGAAACGAGTACGCCGATTTTCCCTAGGCTATTGACTATACTAGACCATACGGTGAAATTGTCTTCGTGTTGAAACGCTTGCATAAGTTGAAGTACCTCGACGGTGGAGGCATGACCAGCTTGCACCATAGCGAACAGATCATCCAGCAGACCCAATCTATCTAAGGGAGGTAATGCATGGTCTTTGACAGCCGGTAACAATAGAGACAGTGCCTCTGGACTGTAGTGAGTCCTGTAGAAGCCGATCGTTCCAGGATTGATCTTTACCCAATGATCCTCGGGAACGTCTTTCACTCGAAATTCTTTCGTCTTCTCGTCGAGCAAAGCCTTAAGTACACACTCCTCTGGATTCTTCGACGTACTTATGCTAATTGGTATGATCCACAGACTGTTTCCAGTATCCGCGGAACCGTCGGCTAGAAATCTTTCTTGAGACAGAGACAGAATCCGATCACTGCCTTCTTGACGGTGTTGAACTCTGACAACGGGGAATCCTTGTTGCTCGGTCCATGTGGACATCACGCTACGAACATCCTTATTACTAGCTTCTTCCAGAGCGTCCCAAAGATCTCCCGTTTCGGCGTTGGCGTAGCTGTGCTTTTTCAAATAGAGATTCATACCCTTTCGAAAATCGTCGTCTCCGATGTAGGAGTGTAACATTCGAATAACGCACGCCCCCTTGTTGTAAGAAATATCGTCGAAAATCTCATCGATTTCGGATGGATGACCGACTGGTACTTCAATTGGATGACTATTCTTTAAAGCGTCGAGCTCTAGTGCTCTGATGTACGTATCCGTCACAAATTGCGTCCAAATATCGTATTCAGGAAACAAGTGAGCAACGCATAAGAATTCCACGAACGAGGCGTACCCTTCGTTCAACCATAAGTGCGTCCACCATTCCATGGTCACGAGGTTGCCGAACCACTGATGCGCCAATTCGTGCGCTACGACTAAAGCGATCCACTGTTTTCGCACAGCGGATGTGTTTTGTGGATCTACTAGGAGACAAGTTTCACGGTACGTAACTAGACCCCAATTTTCCATAGCTCCAGACGAGAAATCCGCGATCGCAATCAGATCAATTTTTGGAAGTGGATAAGCAATTCCAAAATAAGTTTTGTAATATGGCAGTACTTTTGTTGCTACTTCTAGGGCGAACTGTCCTTGTTCCTTCTTCGATTTCGGTGTGTATACGCGTACTAGTACACCATCGCTTGATCTGTCTTCAATGTAATCAAATTCACCAACTACCACTGCTACTAAATACGTCGACATGATTGGTGTTCTCTCGAATATTAAAGTCTCGACCGATTCGTTCGTCACCTTACTTTTGATAGGCTGCAACAAATAAATAAATATATTTTTAAAAATTGTGATATTAATTTGATGGTGTTGATATTTATTAGAAAAGAAAACAAGAGAAAATAAAATAAAACCACATGTGCTAGGCGCTGCTTACCATATTGGAAAGTGCTGTAAGACCTGATGGTACATTTAGAGTAATATCAAACGTGGCTTTGTGTGCTGGTTCATCCCAGCATGGAAAGCAACGTCTAGCATCTGTTGGCTCGAATTGAGTTACAGCTGCATGTTCAACAGTTCCATTGGTCCTGCAAACAGATAGAAAATTTTTGTTACATTAAAGATGCCAATCATTGCTTACCATATTTGATAAACCAACAAGTGACATATCAGTAGGAAGCGCAAGTTGTATAGTAAAAGTAGCTTTTAAAGATGGTTCATCCCAACAGGGAAAAAATCTACGAGCTGATGTAGGACATAAATAAGTTACAGCATAGTACTTATTTTGTCTACAAAATGTCAAATTCTTGTAAAAAAAACAATAAAATAAACCTACAGCTTTTACAATAAAATAAATATTTAGTACATAATCATATTATTGTAATTCTATAAAAATTAAAGTACCCAATATATTTGCTTCTATAGAAACCCTTCATTTTGTCATTAATTTCTCCTACAAATTCTAAGCTCAAGTATCCACTTTTGCCCAGTGGCAGTTCTTCCTCAAATACCAAAGTGGCTGTTTCTTCTGGCGAGTAAACTTTAATCTGCTTTGTCCGGATAGCTTTTCCATTATTGTTATTGAAAATTACACTTTTTATATCAATATCCAACGAATTTAAGACAATGGTATCTGTAGATGTCTTCACCTGCAAAATATTGAAAAATCCCAATGAATAAAAGGATAATAAAATTGAGTGTAACACTTAATAAGGCATATTTAGGCATGAAACATCAGATCGATTATCTTATCATGTTTCACTTTCAGTCATTATTTAGAACTTTGAAAATAGATAAAGCAAGATAAGACAAACGTTTTCAAATGTACTGCCAAGGTTACATTGGAATATGTTTCATATATATAGCATATGAATTTTGTGGTTATGTTTGCCATATGGTCAACATTTCTTGTTTCACTGTGGAAATTACAAATATGCAAAGAGCCATGTGAACAATTAACATTCCAATGGCTGAACTAGATTGATTGAGCTTACGTCAATGTGCACATCCTCCTTGCCGTCGAAGACAAAAGTTTTCAGATTCGGTGACAAAACGATATTGTAATGGTAAGGCTGAACATCTGTCGGCAGCCGGCGAAATGGTTTTTTTTCGGTGCTTGACATCGCTCGATGTTGGATCGCGATTCGAAAAACCCTTAAATATCGAAATGTCTTGAAACCCGTTTTGAGCTTTTCCTTTTTGCCGACTCACAATGCGAAAGTATGCACTAACATGAAACGCCTCAAACCATTGCAGACGCATGCGCAACATGCATTCTGTCTACAAAGATGCGAATGAAAATGGAACTGTATCTGCAAAAAAGAATAAATCACGTGCTTTCGTATTACATGAATATAATGCGTAAATTTTAATTTCAAGCTGTATACTAGAACTAAAAACTTTAATGCTAATGTTTTATTAAGATTAGCTAAGAGCTACATTAATTTTTAATTTTAATATTATAATTCTCTTGTTCTTTTTCCCCTTTAGAAAAAATTATTGTTTCGCTCTTTAATTTCACATACCAATTTTTTGTAAAATATTTTGAGTTTTGAGTATGTGTGAATTGATAAGTAAATTGTATTAGTAAAAAAAAGATAGACATATATATATATATATATATATATAAATTACACACAATTAGAATAGGCGGCTAATACTTGCCTATGATTATATAATATACAGTGTTACCGTTGCAATTTTATGGCTCTCCGTAGTGTTCGGTTTAGAAACGTGCTATCACAATCTTGTCACTTTTCGTAGCACAAACATTGGCACGATAAATATAAATTACACAACAGCTTAACTGAATTAACAAACAGAGTATGTAATTACGTACTAAAGTATATTTTTCGCGTAGGTTATAACAAATGAGGACTCAAAATTCATGAAGTATTTGATATTTCTATTATTTAATAACATACGATTAATAACTTTGTTCATCTTGCAAGATAAATACAAAAGCTCGATGCGATGAACCAAACTTAAGCTAAAAAATGCAACAAAATGTAATGTATCTTTAGTAATAAAAGATCGCGATAATGACATCCAGATGGCAGCAATCGACCGTGCATGAAAACTCTGACGAGTTGTCGTTCTAGTTGCACGCTGTATATACATAGACCAATTGCAGATTGGACAGTTTCAGACTTTTGTCTGTGGCGCGAGGCAGTGGGGCTGTGGGAACAGAGGACTTTGTGGGAGAAGTTTGTTCTCGCGGATGAGCTGTTCAAGGTAGTGGTGGCGTGCGCGAGCACCCGCCATATAGCCAGGAAATCGTGATAGAGAAACCCGGTTGCAAAAGTTACTCAGAGTATCTCGCTTAGGAGATCAAGGAACGTGTAAGGCGTTCAGCGGGTTTCAACCGGGGATAAAATATCGGCGGAGCGTAGCACACGGCAAGAGCGCACGGCGCGAGATCTTGAAGCGGTGAACGGGTTAGACGGGTGGTGTGTTTTTCATGGCGATCAGTTTGTTAGGGAAATATCGTACGCTGCCAGCGATGTACGAGACACGGGAAAGGTGAAGGAGGTGCTCACCGGACCTGACCTGCCCGAGAGGAATACCGTGAAACGTAGCTTCTCTCGTATACACACACACAGTGCGTCACCGCCCATATGCGATGTGTTTCGTGCGTCCGAGCGAATGAGTAATCATGTACTGTCAAGACAAGGGCTCGACCGCCTCCAAGAGCAAAGAGGGTAAGTTGACGCCCGCGAGATTCGACTATCACAGAACAAATTCCCCCGGCTGTCCCCCCTCCCTCCCTCCTACCCCGCCTCCGCATTTTCAATTTTTCCGCAGCCTTAGACTGTGTCCTCGACTCGGCTCGTGTAAACCGCTTTTCGTTTTATATCCTCTTCGTTCGTCGCGGATTAATCGTCGCTTTGGCCTGCCACATGTGGACTCGGTAGAACACGATCAAGTAGGTTGGAGTGTCAAAAGTTGCGCGATTGTGGGGGTGTACGTTAGCCCGACGAAGAGAGAGACAAAGTGACAGGCGAAGAGAGTGCAATAAAGAAAGAGAGAGGCAAGGAGAGTGTGTCGTTTACAAACGAGAGGGGTGGGGGTACAGTATGTACATATTTCGAAGAGAGAAACGGATCATGTACATTCTTGACAAACCTTTTTATCGAACTTCGGCCGCGTAGACGAGTTTATCAGATGTGAGATTGCATCGAAGCTGTGCATCGTCACCTCGAGTGCTGCGGACATACGTATATTGTTAGTGCCTTTCCGTTGCCGCGAAAACGTCACTCTCGTAGAACGCGACAGATGCGTGAATGGAGAAAAGTGCTTTTGTGTACGGGGAAGCATGCGGAACACCGTGAAACGAGATGTGGAGTCAGTAGCCACTCTAAAGATTATCAACGTAATTTATCTATCGTTCTTTCACACGTTATAACTAAAACTTTTCTTTAGTTCATTGACCTGTAGTAACAACACATGTGCGTATGTACACGTATGTACATTATACGGTATATACGTTATACATGAGATACACATAACCATACATAACCATGTACGTACATATGTATACGTACGTTTATCGAACTTCCATTTGTTGCTTCCTAACGATGGAGTTCACATTTATAAATGTATAAGTTACGAGATACTTGCTCTTTATGTACAAATTATAGGTTTTTTTTTCAAAGAAAGATCTTCGATAGTTCGAAGAAATGTTTATTCAATTTCAAACGCTCATGTTGTTGTTATTAACGTATCATTGTTTCAATACCGTAATCTACGAACAATTGTTCGCGTTATATATTGTTCTTTTGAATTTAATTAGTTACGAATTTTTTTCAATAGAATAACTTTGCCAATGCAGTTGAACAACTGGCACTATTATCTTTTCTAATTGAGCATACATGTTTATATGGTATGTAAATTAAGAAGGAATGTCATTTGCATTTGTGCAAGCGATTATGAACTCTTCTGCTCTACTATGTCATTATTTAAACAAACGTACTGTTACATGGTGTAATCTTCACTTTATTTAACAAATGAAGAAAATATCTTTATCTATATAGATATAGATAGGCCATTTTTACGTTCTTCTTTCTGAAAGAAGTATCCATTGATAATATTGTTATCCAAGACAAATATGTCTTACACATCCGTGCCACTATTAATCATAAGATTGAGGAACACTGGCATTGCACACTGCATGATGTCATCACACATGTAATAGTCCATAGTGTTTGAATTATTCTGAGTTTCTTGGTCATATATTACAGTATGTCAATATCTGAGTTGATATATATATTTGTTTTGATTTACAGTTGCTAAAGATTGCGCTTATTATGCACAGGGTCTGTGACAATGCGGGAGAAGAAGGGTGGTGCTCTTAGCAGAGTACAAAAACTGAAAAAAAGGCTTAGCCACAGCTTTGGAAGACTTTGTAAGTAAAGTTAAAGTTATCTAATGTTATGTAAAAGCAATAAATTATGTGAAGTATCTTGTAAAATGAAATGACAAGAATAGTTTAATGCTTGTTATTCAATAGAATTATATAAAGATATATCATAAAAGGATTAATGTCTTTTTAAACTTTTAAATGGTTTCACAAACTTAATTTCATTATTATTGATACTAGTTTTATGTGTGAAATAATATTGTTTATTATGTTTTTTGTATTTTTATTATTTATTACGTATTTTGTGTTAAATTTTATTTCAAAGAAAGATTTTATAGATGTGTAAGAAGATTATTTTCAATAATATTGTTTTTTTTTCTCTTTATTTTAGCAATATCAAAAGAAGAGGCTGATGATGCTGCAAACAGGGGTCAACTGCCATATAATGGCTATTCTGAGGAGTTCCTAGACCGTTTAGAACCAAACGGCAATATACCTGCGGATAAGGATCGCCGTTATGGTAAGTTATACAATTTATTTACTGTCAAAAAAATTAGTATATTTTCATAATGCATAGTATAATCATAATAGAGTATACTTCTTTTTTTTTCAAAATGTTACACGAATAACTATTGTTTATATTAGTATTTTATATCTGTGGTAAATATTTATTACTTCAGTAATTAGTAGAAACTGGTGATGTAATTTAATTGACCTAGTATTAGGTTGTATTATTCATTAAATATGTATTGCACATAAAGTAAAATATTTATGTATTGATAAAATATTGAGGAATTATGATTCTACGTGGATTCCTATTGCTGTTATTTTAAAGAAAGTTTTAAGGACGAAATTGGATGTCATAGAATGGACAGGTGTGGGCGACCATGAGAGAGTGCATCGGCAGCTTTCCGTTTCTAGTGATTCCAAGCTTCTTGACGAGGATATACGTGAAGAAGCGAGAGTAATCTTAAGACCTCGGCGTCCACCGCGACCCAAGTCAGAGGTCTTCCTTGGACCGGATCCACCTCCTAGAAGAACCAAGAGATTTTCAGCATTTGGGGTAATGCTTCCTATTTATTTATTTTTTCTCTATTTATTTCTTTTTTTTCAACATTCTTATGTTAACAATTGTGTATGCATGTGCTTGCAGGGAGATTCTCCTTTTGGTAAATCTGAAGCTTATATAAAATTGGAACAATTAGGTGAAGGATCATATGCCACAGTGTTCAAAGGCTATAGTCATCTTACAAATCAAATGGTGGCACTTAAAGAAATTAGACTACAAGAGGAAGAAGGTGCTCCATTTACTGCCATTCGCGAGGCAAGCCTTCTCAAAGAATTGAAGCATAGCAATATCGTTACTTTACACGATATAATTCATACGCGCGAGACTCTTACTTTTGTTTTTGAATATGTTCATACTGATCTATCGCAATACATGGAGAGGTATGGAAGTGGTAATGGTGGTTTAGATCCACGAAATGTTAAACTGTTTTTATTTCAATTATTAAGAGGACTGGCATACTGTCACCGCAGGTAAAAGCACATACATCGATTTAAGATATTCAGGTTTAACATTGATAATTAATTTATCGTACGTTAATTTAGGAGAGTATTACATAGAGATGTGAAACCGCAAAACTTGTTAATCAGTGAAATAGGGGAACTCAAACTAGCAGACTTTGGTTTAGCGAGAGCTAAATCTGTACCGTCACACACGTATTCACACGAAGTTGTGACATTATGGTACAGGCCACCTGATGTTCTTTTGGGATCTACAGAGTATTCTACCTCGCTTGACATGTGGGGAGTAGGTTGCATATTTATGGAGATGTTGACTGGTGAACCAACATTCCCAGGTGTACGCTGTACGTACGACCAACTTGATAAAATATTCAAAGTATTGGGTACTCCTACTGAAGAAACTTGGCCTGGTGTCACGCACCTGCCAGGATATAAACCACATAGACTGGGATTCTATCCTCCACGAAAATTGGGTCTTTCATTTCCTAGACTCTATGATATTGCTGAAGGTGATAGTATGGCATCGTCGCTTCTACAATTAAATCCTGATCAACGGATAGGAGCTGAAGAAGCGTTAAGGCATCCTTATTTTGCCTCTCTTCCTAGAAAATTATACGAATTGCCTGACGGTAAGTTTATACTTGGCATAGTAACTAATAATTATAATGCATTTCACTAGAACTGTAATTTATCATTGATCAATTTCTATTTCTTTACAGAAGTATCGATATTTAGTGTTGAAGGTTGTCATTTGTATACAAATTCGAGGCACGGGTGTGCAGATTCGCGTCACACAGCTCTTAAGACTTGAGGTTAAAAGTAAACGTAAAACAAAAGAAAAAAAAAGAATAAAAAATAAATAAGTAATTCCCAAATTTACATGTTCAATGAAACGGTCATTCTCATACAGATCAGATTCACACTGGCAGTTTTGCCTTAACTTATTTACGCATTATTTCCACGCGCGTCAATCGCTCTTTCTCAGGGCTGCTCTACAAATTTCAATCATCCTTCACAACATGTACACACATGTACACAAACACGAATACACACGTACACATAATTACATATTCGTATTTTTATTTCTTTTTCTTTCTTTTCAAAACTAGTACACATGTATCAAATGAATTAACGAAGATAAATTATTAACTGGCAAAGAAAATACGAAAGTAAGCTATCTGTGGCTAAATGAAGTAAAACGATTTTATGAGATTCGCACGCTCGATTTAGAAAGCAAAAGCACGCACGACCCATCCTCGCACTTCGTCCAAATACTAGATTTAGATTGATACCAATCAAAAAAAAAAAAAAAAAAAAAAAAAAAAAAAAGTACTACACCGCCTTGTTGTCTCTTGATTCTAGCCTGAGTAAAGTCTGGAGACGGCGGTTGCTGGTTAGAAAAAAATATAATAAAATAATTAAAACTTAGAAAAATTTTGGAAGATCTGTAATACTTTATATAAATTTTATGCTGTTTTTGACTCTACCGTTGGTTGCTGAGACAATTGAATATATTGGTATATAACGAAAAAACTCATTGTTCGAATTAAAACTAGTTGTTAATTATATGACGTGATGATAGAAAATAAATAGAAGTCTAAGAGAATAAGATATCAGTACGAAGTGTCGTAGCTAATAACACCAAGAAACACGGCGAGATTAACGAAAAAAAAAAAAAAACTCATCGTTGATGATATCGACGGTAGTGATCTAGTTGTAAGAATTAATATTAGCATGCTAGTGTCGATCATTATCGACATTTACAAAGTAGTATCTATCAATGATAGTAAATCAAGAACGAAGTAATAATATAGACGTAATCAAATCCAATTTGTTCAATCGCTCATATACTAAACAGCCAATGGTGCTTGAACGAATTGTAGGAATAAAATGTTAATAATTTCGTATTAGTTATTTAGAATGGATTGTTCGGCCAATCTTGTTTCTAAATGGTTTTTAATGACCATATATTTAAACGAACCAACTTTAATAATGTTGCAATAGTAATATAGGGTAACGTAAACGGTGTTACAGTCCTTCCGAGTTTTTTCTAAGCTACGATGATTATTACGGTAAAATATTACTCCTGTAGTAGTTACATTTATACCGATTTTTCAGCACACTTATAAAAATATCAACGAGGCGAAAGCAAAAAAAAAAAATTTTAAAACTATTTCGAAAAAAATTTGAGACACGTTATTATTATTATTATTATTATGGTTATTATTATTATTATTATTACTTATTAAAAATTATTATTTGAAAAAAGACGCGAAGAAGGTAGATTGTATATAGAACAAGGTTCGTATTATTGATGACACTGAGATAGCTGAGCTGAGACTAATAAATGTGACTTTGTAATAAATTAAATCGTAGTTCGGTACACTTCAGACCCTATTCTTTGTTAGGTTTTTTCCATGTGCAACAAGCCACAGGATCGTTTAGACTTTTAAGTGTAACATAATGCAAAACCACTTGTATCTGTAATACTTGTTCTGCTTAAGTATTGATTTTATACACATTTATTTCCTTATAATTATGTTTTATTTGTAATTTTTCTAAGAAATCATTGATATTCAAATTGCTTCAAACTTGTACTGAGAAAGATAAAGAACTATGTTTTTGAAGTACATGTGTATGTTGGAAAATTTATACCTTTTCAATGCACCATGAAGTTAGATCCCTCGTGAGTTGTTCAATTATTTTCGAAAAGTGGCATTTTGGAAGTTTTACAATGCTGAAGACAATGGAAAATTTTTTGCAAAAAACGACCGAGTTTAATGTTAGCTAATTATATTAATTATATTAGGCGTTATCCATTATCTTGATCCTTAAACAACTTAATTTAATTAAATCAATGTAATGCAATGTTAATTATACAAGTTCGTTCAAATCTGGTTTACAAACAGTAGCGCATTTTATTGAAAACGATTTTTTTTTTTTTTTTTTAATTCATTAGCCGCCTGTTCAAAGGCGCTAGTTTACTGACGTTGCGGAAAGTAACATGGCTTTGTTGTCCTAGTAAATGATGTGCTGTGTTGCGTAGAGTCAAGTGATTTCTATTAATATACTTAATTAAGTTAATGAAAGCATGGCACGCGCTTGAGTGGGTTACTATTTTATTCATCAACCTAGATGGACATGTCATTCTCTGTTAACGTTCGAACAAAGTGAAAGCTATGGCTGGTGTTATGCAGGAGGTTAGGGATCCTCTGTCTCCGGACAGTAAAGGTAATAAATGTTTTTTTAATAATCGATTCTACGAAAACAAAAATTTACACTTTTTACCTTTCGGATAATGTCAATTCAATGCGTAAAATCGAAATTTGAAATCAAAAAGTGTGTTTTTAACGAGTAAAAATTGTCATTGGTACCATACACAATGTATACACGTCATCGGTAGTTAAGAGCAAACAAATTATCCTATGTAATATAGTATAATTTTTTTCTTCGCCATGAGAATATTATACCATTGAATTTATTGTTTTAGGATGTGTGAAACCAACGATATCTTACGAGGAAATAGCTACCAAGCTTTTGAACGAGAAACTTTTATTAACGGCCTTGGAATTACACGCAGAACTGTGCGAAGCTGGAAAAGAATTACCCATTTTAAAAGAGTTTTTTTCGAATCCCAGTCATTTTGAGAATCAAAGTATTAAGCCAGAGCCGTATAGTCCTATGCGTATGTATAATACATATGTTATGGAAGTTATTTGCTTTTCATATAAAAGAAATTTAAATAATCAAAATGAAATAAAATGGAAACTGGTGCAAAGATTTAATATTAAATTCTTGATTAAATTGATAAATTCTTGTCACTGCATTTATATTATTATAATTTATTTTATTATATAATTAGCTAGGTCTTCTAGTCAAGCTACTTTAGACTCACTGGATATGACAAGGTATTCTGAAGATGGTGCAGGTGTCGATGAAAGAGTAGCAATTTTAGAATTTGAATTAAGAAAGGCCAGAGAAAGCATTTCTGCTCTTCGTGCAAACCTCACTGTAGTAACAGGTTCTTTTTAGTTTGATTATTGTATTTTAGTGACGTCAATTATAATATGTAAACTGATATTTATTCAAATATTTTAGAATCAGAAGGAACTACACCTGACAAATGCTCTGATAAGCACATAATTAATGGAACTCCCATAAAACCCCATGAACAAAGAGCTATAAATTTTCTTGTTAATGAGTACCTGTTGACGAGTTCATATAAATTAACATCAATTACATTTAGTGATGAAAATGAAAATCAGGATTTTGAAGATTGGCAAGATGTAGGATTGAATATCCCAAAACCAGCAGAATTATTACAAATCTACAGAGAATATATGAAAGCAAATGGATATGATAGATCACCTTCTGTAAGTGTTGGTGTACAAACAGATTTTTGTGAACTGGAACCAGAAACAGAAACAGAGAAAGATGAATTCAAAGAAATGGTTTGTAGTTTATATCTAGAACATTCTGGTTCTAATTTGTATGATTTGTTAAAAAATAATAATATTAATAGGTTAAGAAGGTGGAAGAACTTCAACAACAGACTGCATTATTAGAACAAGAAAGATTGGATTTGCAACAGTTCATTGCCACTTCCGAAAATCTGTCGCAAAATCCAGTTAAGGTATAAACCGAATTCGTGTACAAAAATATTTAAAAGATTTATTTTCTAAGATTTTGAACTGGTGATATGTTCTTTATATAGAAAGGTAGCAGCGGAACAATACAAACGATAAATTCAAATTCTACTACTCCAGATAAGTTTGAACTTCTGGAAACTCCAGCTCGTGATACATCGGCAGTGACTCAAGAAGCCGAGGAAGACGACAGTGTTTCTGTTGTTGTTAGTCTTGGCGAAACAGATCCTGGAGATAAAGAATGGACTAGAATTCAATTACCTAGGGTGGACGTCACTGAAGGATCCTCTATCCTTCCAAATCCACCATCTAGGTATTGTATTTTTTTCTAACATATGTATGCTTTTTTTTAAATAGAAATATTTTATAGAGAATAAATATTTTCAGACATTTACCATTGAAATTTAAAATGGAAGTGATATCACATTGTTTAGTAAATATTCCGAATTCTATAATATCTGCAGTGGAAGAAATTTTCAAAAACGGAGTTACACGCGATACTCTTGTTCAAATTTTAGCACAAACGTTACCTCGTATCGTACCCAACGTTATCTTAAATAAACGCGAAGAAGTAATACCATTAGTGTTAAGTGCAATTCGACTTCATAATGATTCTACAGAAAGGGAAAAATTGTTACAACTACTATTCAATCTAAAGAAAAGGCCGCAAGAAGATGAAAGACAATTAATTTTAGCCGGTTGATACAAATTATCACAAATAATTGAATTATTTTAAATAAAATCTTTTTCTGATTTATTCCTTTTAATGTTAGGTTTTGTTGCTATGGCTAAACTCGAAGATGAACCAATGGAAGGGGAAGAAATATTGACCATTTGTTGGGAACAAAGTCAGCATAAGTATCCTGAAAAGAGGTTGTTGGCTGTTGAGTGCTGTTCTGTATTAGCTCCATACATGTCAGTTGGAATAAGGAACTCTTTAATGCTTTCTATGCTTCAACAAATGTTACTTGAAGATAAAGACCCAACAGTTAGAGCTAGTGTGGTGAGAAGTCTTGCGCTATTGATAGCTTTAATGGATGATCCTGATAAATATTTTCAGGTATTATAAAAACAAAGAAGTTACCTATCATATAACGGAGATTTAAATGTTTTATATTCATGATATTTCTTTTATAGTGTGAAGAATTAGCATTAACGGCACTTCATGATACATCACCTATCGTCGTTGAAGTTGCGTCTTCTTTACTTTTACCAATTTTAGCTCAGTGGGCACTTTCTCTTAAAAGATTACAAACACATTTATTACCACGTATAATATCTAAAGTTAAAAGTCATTTAAAATCTGGATATACTCAACATTCGCCTAACAAAGATCACATAGACGAAGGGAAAATAGTATCATCAATCGCTGTATTACAGTATTTACTTCCACATATGGTTATCTGCGTAGCAGATACTGATGTGGTTAGAACTTATATAGAGCATGGAGTATCATCTGATTTGCGTAAGTATATTGTAGATATGCACGCATTGGCGAATTTAACAGGACATATTTAAATAATGTAACATTTTGAATTTTATATATGTTTTATCATACAGCTGATGTGTTCCTGAATTTGTGTCATTCCAATATCGTTAATCCAAAACTATTTTATAATGGTGATGTAGACATAGGGTCTCTTCTAAATGCATTTTTTGCAAATACATGGGAGAATGATTCATGGCCAGAATTAGAATGGTTTACAAACAAATTGTACTTGTTCCATTTCTTTTCTTTCTCTTTTCTCTTCAAGTCTTCAATTGATACTTTCATATATACAATCAATATTTTCAGAGTGTTGGATATTTTGGAAATGGTAAAATCTATTGAAATTACACAGGAGACTATTTTAAATTCTCTTTTAACATATATTCATTCTCTGTGCTTGGGTTTTGGGCGATATGTCACGCAAACCCGGGTAAATTTGATATTTTAATGAAATTTAATTATTACGTTATATCGCTAATACAATTAACAACGTTCTATCCTTTAGATTCAACCGATAATTGCATCCGAAGTAACTGAACTTGAGCAACAATTAACAACTCTTGCAACAGATAAAAAAAAGATGAGTTTGACGTTGATCCCGACATATTTAATTATATTGTCCACTTTAAATGGTATAGATGTTTCTAAGTCTTTAAAACAGTTCCTTGTTGCTTTATCAATGAGTGGCACCAGTATTACTAGTTTACAGATCGCAATTATTATGTTATGTACTCAAGAACATATGCAAGAATATGTCCTTAGTGGTTTGTGGGATGGTTAGTTTTATCAGATAGTTTTAATAGAATCTTGTTTCTCTTTTTTTTACATTAGAAATTTAGTAATCCTCCCCCGTTTTTTTTATAGGGGTAGTACACCAAAGACCCATCGTAAGACATGCAACCGCAACATTGTTTGGTTGCGTAATAGCCCACGTTTGTGATCGGTTAGCAAGTGCTAAGGTAGTTCCTGCAATTGTAACACTTGTTAGTGATCCTGATATGTAAGACATTTTGTTTATTTCGAATGAGTAACATTATTTATAAGATTTGCGAATTCAATCATCTATTTTCAAACAGTATGGGTATTTAGCACAATTAATATACTTTTAGAACTGTTCGGTCTGCTGCAATTCCTTCTCTCGGTCGTTTAATAACGGAATGTAAAGTAAGAGAGATGCGCGATAAAGCACGTTTGACTTTAGAAACCATTGCTAAAGAACCTCAAGGTGTTCCGCCTACTTTAGCACTCCCTTTGGTCTCAACATTAGCATTTATTGCTCCTAATTGCCCCCAAAATTATATAGAAGACGGTAAGTTTCCATAAAATTTTATATTTTCAATGTTTAACATACGAAATTAAAGTCTTTGACTTCATGCAGTCATAGCTACGCAATTAATGGGAATAACCTCGTCGGCGTTACAACAAGGCCGTAAAATCGATCTCATCAGTGCTTTGGTCGAAGCATATTCTGTTTTAGTTTATTGTCCATTGAGTAATCAATGTGTTTCTGGTGTATTACTACCGGGATTGAAACATCTTGAACAGTTAGTTAATCAACATTTACCTCAACAGAAAGAAGCTCTTCGATCACTTCTGCGAGAAGCTGAATCGCGGCAAGATCTTTCAAAACCAATGGAGAGGTAAATGCATAATCTGTCTGTTTTGGAAATAATTTTGCAATGAATTATTTATTGTCTATTCAGATCATTATCAATGAGTTCTGGTCTTTCATTATCAATGGCTACAGTAAACGTGGGACAAGGTGTAGAAGATATGAGACAAAGAGTGAGCAAAATATTTCAACAAAAAACTAGTTCACCAAGTATGTCTAGTATATTTCGAAAGAAGTAAAATATTTTTTTGTTACTCATGTTCATAGGTAAATATTATTTTTTCAAATTTTATATTTTCCTTCCGTTACGTTCAAATTTTATTCGTTTATAACGTCGTACTTAATTAATGTTATATGTATTATACACAATTAATAGTACAAGTAGTGCACAAAATTTACACTAATCAAAATATATATATATATAATAATAATTATGTAAATATTACTCGTTGCAATCGAAATGTAAGTTTGAAGACAAATACTATTATTGAATATTGCTGTGTGTGCCTTTTAAAAGTGTAATTTTAAATGAATTGCAAAATTTAACTGCTTTGGAGATTAATCTATAGGTAATGTAGAAGAAAAGTCAATAGTATATTAATTTTAATTTTTAACTGCACAATTAATTATAACATTAAGTGCTAAAATAATGGCAACATTTTATATAGCTACTTTTTTAAAAATAGTGAATGAAATGTTATTATAATTTGTTATTCTATATTTTATGAAGTCATAATATATTTATTAAAACGAATCTCATCACTTACCAATGTAGATAAATTATGTATTATGTATAACGTTATCGTGCTCTTATTAAAAAAAAAAAAAATTTCTAATATATCCTGCCATAACACGACTACGAATTTAAAAATAAAATTTTAAGAATACTTGCTATATTTTAAATTATAGGAAGGTATAATTATAGATAAATTAACTGTTCGAAAAATTGGTTGTGATTATTAAGCGTTGAATGTCTGAAGGGACGATTTCATTTTGTATTACTGTTTGATATTACGAAGCAAAATAGTCTTTATTTTTATCACGTTTAAGGATTTGGTGTGATACCATAAGATCTATTGCAATTAACGTTCGTGTATATTTGTACTTAAACTGATTATATATAGATTGGATGATATTAGAGTTTCTCTGCTGCAAATGAATGAAAGAAAAAAAAAAAATTAATCAAATTTATTTAAAATAAATCATCTCTTGTAAGAATATTTTATTGTATCTATATATATACAATTACATTTCCCGTATATACATATATATTGATACACATTACATGTATATAGTCCATGTATACGTATATATGTATATATGTGTGTATATACAATGATCAATAATTTACTTCGTATCTCATGATCAATGTATTATCGTTATTTTACATACATATATGTATATACACGTGTATACACGCATATGTATTTACGTTTTATTAAATATTAAATACTGTAGCATGTATTATTACTGTGCAAAGAATAAATTTTATAATATATTTATTCTAAATGCATTGTCCTAAACATATTCGGTTTTCTTAGACATATTAGAAACTCTGGTTATGTTTGTATGATCCGGTGACTCACCATCTGTTGGTCACAGTACGCTTTATTATAATAAAACGCGCGAAACATTCAATAGCCCCTCGAATTAATTAATCGATACCCTGAGCAATCTAGATAATAATTCTAAAACTAATTTTACTTTGCATGGACAATTTGCCTGCCGCGATTTCGTAATTTTTACACGGGGTGGGGAGCCTGCGTATGCTTACGTCTAAGAAACCCTCGGTGTAATACTATTTACATGACTTTGAATTTCAACGTGACGAGTTCGAAAGGGAGGAAAATTTTGCAATAAGCTCTACGCGAGTAACAACAAGTGTATATCCGTGAATGAAAATACATAGTAGTTCTCTTTATTATGCCTTGTTATTCGAACGAAAACAGAAAATCTATATCACAACTATCATCGTATGTGTATGAATCGCACAATAAATTAAAAGAAATGTCAATCCTTGCCACTTTCTCTCTTTCTCTCATTCTCTCTTTCTCTCTCTCTCTCTCTCTCTCTCTCGCGTTTCTACAAACTACGTGTACGTTTGCATTATGAAATCTTATTATTGAAAAAATATGATATAAAAATTTGAATTCTCATAAATTAAAGCTTGGTAAAATAAAAATAAAAATCATTGAAACGTGAGTTAAATAATAAATAAGTCTTCCTTGTTTCCATTTTTTTCTCGGACCCTTGGGCTTTAACGTTCCTCTTGAAAATTGACTTCGTTCCTCACGAGAAAAGTTCTCCTATTTAACAAAAGAGTAAAAAGTCTGGCGCAAACGCCAGACTCGTTTTAACACGACAATCTAATAATTGCTATACAATCTTCTCGTTCCGCGTACTTCGCTGTTTTATCTCTCATGAAGATGACATTTCTTGCTTCGTCAACGATTAATAATATTAAATAAAAATGGCTATCTATTTCGTTGAGAGGGTAATGATATCAGCAAGAATGGAACAAATTTATACAGGACTGGCGCATGTTTGATTGAGAAGCGGCCTGCCACAGACACGATGCGTTCTGTATCTTCGATGAGCATGGAACGAGTTGATGAAATATTCTCAAATATTTTTTTTCCTCGTCTCGGTGTTACCAGCAAATATATGCGAGTACTCCGCCCTTGCTGCTAATGCTGCTAATACGAATTCTATCCAAACATAACAGAGAGAGAGAGAGTGTAATTATTGTTATAGAATCGAGGTAACTCTTTCTTCCAACATGGTAATTTGGTTTAACTAAAACTCACCAAAGTTTACTGTCGTATCAGCAAAGTCGATCTTTGCATTCTCGAAAATTTTATCAGACTCCTCCACCGGCATATTTAACGAGAGTTTCAAAGCCTTTCTTAATTCCACTTTGTTGATATAAGATAACGACTTCGTCCCACATACCTGTCAATTATAATACAAAGTTATAAAATAATAATAATTTAGATGGTTATTTTTAAATAATTTAACTTGTATAATATTGTAGAGTATCGTTAACAATTAAATCTAAACGGTTAATATTTACTTCGAACGATGTTTCAACCTTGTCCAGCTCCGAGTTTGCGTTCGCTGTAGCCATCACCGTGAATATATATTCTTCGAAATCTATTTTACCATTTCCTTGCTGAAATAATAAGTAATAGGAGTACTAAGTAATGTATATAACAGAAAGTAAAGATATATTGATATCACATGGAACGAGATATAAAGTATAAAATTTAATTTTAAGATAAAACGCGAGGATGTAACATGAATGATACAGACCCTATCGTGTATTCGAAAGAGTTGTTGAGTAGCTGGTTCTTTTTCATCTATTCTAAGGATTTGCGCAAATTCATGCAAATTAACTTCTTCGCGGAATCTCTCTGTTTTCTTCTGAACTAACTCTTCCTCCGTCTTGGCCGACACCAAACTAGTGAAAATCAAATTGCACATATTGTAATAGCTGTATTATTGTAATTGTCATTACCGCAGGCACAACGTACCCGAGTTTGTTACGAAGTTTATGGGCTTCCACTATGGTGGATGCTCGCGGTATGTTTAATTGATGAGCTCTGCTAATAATTCGACAATCGTCGTACGTGTAATCCGACACGGGGATTTGCAATGCCCTGAAAAGCAAATGAAACATTTGAAAAAAAAAAAACAGAGGTTTCGCTTTTATCTTTCTTATTAATTAGATATAAATTATATAAAATTCAGAAGCATCCGTCTGTACTCCACTAAGATGTACTCACTCCGCCATAAGTCGTCGCACGTTACTTGCGTAAAGCTTAGGATCTGTTTTCTCCGCTTCGCTTGGCTTGTAAACAGGGAGGAACTCTATCTCGCAGCTGCTGTTCAGTTGTGTTAACGTGAGCCACAGTAACTTCAATCTGAAATCGTAATTTCTGTAACTTAGCATCTCGACGGACAGGCAGCTGCGAGAAATTCAATTTAGAAGAAGAGACGTTGAAAGTGAAATGCTTACGCTCCAGGACCTTCCCACGTCCACGTTACAGTGTCCAATTTGTTAGGGTATCTGATGCAGACAGGCTGAACAGGAACACCAGGATAAAATGCACCTGACTTGAATGTAATGAGGCACGATCGATTCGTACAAGTACCTTCGGGGAAAATCATCACCTGCAAAAGAGGATTGCTAGTTTAAACTGATATTATAAATATTTCCTAAATTTCTAGTTTAAACTGATGTTATAAATATTTCCTAAATTGGAAGGATTGCTAGTTTAAACTGATATAAATATTTCCTAAATTTCTAGTTTAAACTGATATATAAATATTTCCTAAATTGGAAGGATTGCTAGTTTAAACTGATATTATAAATATTTCCTAGATTTCTAGTTTAAACTGATATTATAAATATTTCCTAAATTTCTAGTTTAAACTGATATATAAATATTTCCTAAATTGGAAGGATTGCTAGTTTAAACTGATGTTATAAATATTTCCTAAATTGTTAGTTTAAACTGATACATAAATATTTCCTAAATTGGAAGAGATTGAAGATAAGATTTCATTAGGTGACGTTTTTCAAAGGAGAAGCATTCCTTAAGAAATAAAATTTGCTACATTCAATTACAGTTGGAGTTAGTATTTGCTGTATCAATTTCTAAGAAAACTAAATTCGAAAAACTGCAGTTCACAAGATTAAGAGTAATTAAGAAAAGAAGAAACGCGATGAAAAATATTTTCTCTTTTTAGTAACGATAGACGCATACCTGTGGCCAGTCCTCTTTCGAAGTAGCCCTTTCGATAATTTCCTTGATTGTATTTTGTCGCGAGTTCGGATCCTCCCTCCAAACGTAGACTGGTTGTGTATAGTTGATAAGCTCTGTGAGTACGTCATAGAAAAGTATACAATACAACGAAATATTTAAAACTCTTTATATGACGCAGAGAACTCTAATTCTTATAAGTTTTATCTAGATGTAACGAAGTATATTCTTAATATTCCTTAACTTTTTTAACGTTTGTTAATATATGTAACATGTTTTCTGGCGTCGAAAAATATCCTTGTTAGTAGAGAGAAAAATTAAATTCTTAGATAACACTTGTACCGTGGTGAATGGGACAGTTCTTTAAAATGTCGATCGTTATCAAATTTATCTTTTTGGCACATTCCCTTCGATTGATAAAAGTCATTTAACATGGCACGTAATGGACGCAAAAACTTTTTGTCAAAGATATAAAATTTTAACATTTACTTTAACAAATCACTTATATTACTGAGATATTCTTTTTATTAAAAAATAAATGGGAATCTTTAAAGTCGAAGGATTTCATGATTTTCCAACTAAACTAATAGAGGTTTTCAAGCGAGAATAGTTTTTTTTTTTTTTTGAGAAATAATGAGCTTAAATCTTTATCAAAACGCAGAGATGGTAAACATTTATGTTGATTCGATTCATCAGTATAATCACAGCGACAAATAAAATTTTATTATAAAAGTAATCGATGGAGTGAATTGGAATACTTAAACTGTAAAGCTGTAGAACGTCGAGACTTTTGCAGAGTATTGAAAAAAAGGGGAGGAAGACTTTGAGGAAGAGGAGCGAAGAATGTTTAATCGATGCAGATTCTAAAATTAATACCTTCGGCGTAAAGTGTAATTTTATAGGTTCTTGTAGGAATGCTTAATGAGCTATATTTACTCCACGACAATGTAGCTGAGTTATAACAATGAATGGGGAAGTGTGCGTACACCGTGAGATGAAAGAAAACTAAACTGAATAGAAACTTCACACCTACGAATATTAGTCTCCGAAACAAATATAAACACACATTACTGCTATGAACTTTTTTTTTTTTTATACACTGAAGGTCTTTTTTTTCGATTAAAAAATTCTTTATCTGCTTAATGCATAATATTCTCATGTTGTCTCTGTCGCTTCTCAACAAACTCAAATCGCACGGTACATAAAAAAAAATTATACTTCATTTTTCGTTTCATTTTCATTTCTCTTCTCAATGAGTACCAAAAGTCATTCAAGCCTTCCACTTTCTTTCTTTCAATACTCTGGCATAACAATTACCTGAATTGAACCCTTTGAACTTCTAATTATATTTTCCAATTATTATTATTATTTTCTCTTTTTTGAAAATTTAACTAGCAATTTAAAAATATCGAGCGTGACTCAAGACAAGAGTTTCCTGTGTTAAAAACTGCAAAGGGTCGAATCCAATTTACAAAAACCTCTAATAATCCAAAAGCTGTATAATTCTATCCTATACGGTGTTAGGTTAGTACAACTGCTTTCGTTAGATCGATCTAAACAGATCGATCTGTCGTTGACGGAAACGTTGCGACAGCCCATGGCTCGAGAGAGGATTGGTTGGTTAATCGCGGAAAAGCGAGCGTGAAATCGTTTCAATAATTGACACGTACTTCCGATGAACGGGTTCAATCCTGATTCCCGTCTTACGATGATCGAAGGGAACCCGGTTATGTAGACGATTCCTCCGTCCATGAAGGTCGAATGGGGTGCAACCACTAAAATCGGCGCCTCCGCCCTCGTCGCCTGTCTTCCACGCACAATGATTCTCATCCCTCCTGCTTGGTACGTCAGCCGGCCCATAAAGCACAACCAGGGCACTATTTTGCTGCAGGTTTCAATTCGGGTATGGTTAACGCAAACCGCTTTGTTTCTCACTTTCTTCCAACATTCGATATAAAAATTTCGGGCACTCTGACGTTAACCACTTGCGCTGGCAACTGATTGCGGACCATAACGAGTGACCGAACCGATATACAAATAATTTCGTCGCTTTCTTTTTCTTTCTGAACTCGTCGGCGTGATATCACTGGATAGAAATTATTGAGAAGTAATAAATTTATTATTTGTTTTGCCTTATATTTAAGACCGAAGAAATATTTAATAAATTTATTTAGTAAATTTATTTAGTAATAAATTTATTATTTGTTTTGCCTATTTAAAACTGAAAAAATGTTTAATAAATTTATTTAGTAAATTTACTTAGCAATAAATTTATTTAGTAATAAATTTATTATTTATTTTGCCTATTTAAAACTGAAAAAATGTTTAATAAATTTATTTAGTAAATTTACTTAGCAATAAATTTATTTAGTAATAAATTTATTATTTGTTTTTCCTATTTAAAACTGAAAAAATAGTTAACAAATTTATTTAGTAAACTTAGCAATAAATTTATTTAGTGATAAATTTATTATTTGTTTTTCCTATTTAAAACTGAAAAAATATTTAATAAATTTATTTAGTAAATTTACTTAGTAATAAATTTATTTAGTAAATTTACTTAGTAATAAATTTATTATTTGTTTTGCCTATTTAAAACTGAAAAAGTATTGCAATTTTGGGACAAAAAATTTTCGACGCGCGTGGCACGTCATTCCAGCGCAAGAGGTTAATTATCAATTTGAACTTTCCGGAAATTTTTCTTTTCGTTCGTCTTTTGCTTGTCGCAATCTATCTTTGAACAAAGAGGCTTTGTTGATGGTAGAAAGTCTGGAACTTAGAGTGAGGATTCGTGGGTTTTCAATTTAATCCTTTGTACTCAGTTTTGTAAACTGTTTCTTACAGCGTTTGTAAAATATTACAGAATACGCAGAAGGCTACTCTGTATGAATAGATTCAATAAATATTTAGAATATTCTTCCTTCAGGCACGAAAATTTGATTTCAGAAAGTTGCGTAAATGCTTAAATTTCGAAATTTAAATTTTTAATCGTGTGCGATAGACATTTGATACTCGTTGAAAATCGGAAAAATCGTAAAAATTCTCCAAGAGCAATTCGAAAGAGCATCGAAGGATCAATGGCTGAAAGATTGAGAAAATACTGCAGCTTTTGAAAATCTCGCGGTCCAGGTTTTTTTACACGGGCCAGACTGTGCTCGAACTTTCTCCGAGGCGCACGTTCTTTTGATCTTTTCCGCGAGAACGTGACTTATACTGAAAAACTCGAGCGTTAGCGTTAGAGAATCAAGTTTGAAAATTCTCGTCTCTCTTTTTCCTATTGATGTTTGAAGAAACGCAGAGGTTCGTTATATAATGTACGTTCGCAATTGTCGTATGCACGAGCTCGCGATTGCGGTTTACAGGTTTGTCGACGTAGATAATCACCGCCAATTATCATCTTGAATATTTTTCATTCGCGTGAACTTGTTCTTGTTCAAATCTAAAAAAACGATAAAACCGAAAATTGAGAGTGATAATTTCAGAATAGACAAAAGTTCTCTCTCTTTGTTTTCCTCTTTGATAAATACCGTGACGGTACTTTCTAATTTTTTTTTTTTCTTTTTTTTGTTTCTATCAAAGTGGACAAGATTATTTGTAAATCTGTTTGCAAAACGAGTAACATTTATTTTTCACCTCTCAAACACGTAGACCATATTGGCCTATATAAGAGAAAATACCGTGATCAGGTTTATTTGCAATAGTGAAACTTTATGACTTCAGAGCCATAGTGACGAGAAAGTTTACAGAACCGTGAATTCGTTACTCTACCCGACAATTTTCATGTATTATATTACAGTTTGGAAGATGCACTTCGAAGCAATTAACCCTCTTGTGCTCGATATTGTTCTTTAACAAGTTGTTAATTACTTAAATGCATTAAACAAATTAATTTTAGCGCATAATGCGCGCTGTAATTGTTTATTATCGTCCTGTCTTACCAACAATTAACGTTTAATTGTTAATTAATGTCTTTTTCAGAGACTTGAAAAGAGTTTGATCCTGAAAGAGTTAAAACAAAAAAAAAAAAAAAAAGAACATGACGTTTCTTACGCAACGACTATATCAAGTTCTGAGATTATTTCAACACTTGAACTACTGACTCTTAATTAGCGTTTGAAAAGTGAACTCTTAATAATCGTCAAAATTAAAGACATGAAACTTGTATGAAACTGTATGTAATTTCGACAAATTTGGTGTAGTTCTAGTGTCAAGGTATGTAAAGAAAGAAGGAAAGAAATAGACAAAAAGGGAGAAAAATTTGGATAATTTGGTAGTTCCAGTGTTAAAGTATAGAGAGAAGGAAAGAACGAAACTAAAAGGGAGAAAAATTTGGACAATTTGGTAGTTCCAGTGTCAAAGTATAGAGAGAAGGAAAGAACGAAACTAAAAGGGAGAAAAATTTGGATGATTTGGTAGTTCCAGTGTTAAAGTATAGAGAGAAGGTAAGAACGAAACTAAAAGGGAGAAAAATTTGGATAATTTGGTAGTTCCAGTGTTAAAGTATAGAGAGAAGGAAAGAACGAAACTAAAAGGGAGAAAAATTTGGATAATTTGGTAGTTCCAGTGTCAAAGTATAGAGAGAAGGAAAGAACGAAACTAAAAGGGAGAAAAATTTGGATAATTTGGTAGTTTCAGTGTCAAAGTATAGAGAGAAGGAAAGAACGAAACTAAAAGGGAGAAAAATTTGGATAATTTGGTAGTTCCAGTGTTAAAGTATAGAGAGAAGGTAAGAACGAAACCAAAGGGAGAAAAATTTGGATAATTTGTTAGTTCCAGTGTTAAAGTATAGAGAGAAGGAAAGAACGAAACCAAAATTTGGATAATAAATTATCCAAAGAGAGTAGAATGAATGGTACGAAGCGGCTGGTAGTGTCAGAAGCATTAGATGTGTAACACTTTGAACCTTGCATATTATATATCCATTATTCTACAGTTATGATTAGTAACGGTACAAATATTCCCATTCACCACATATATATGTACATACATTTTTTAATCAAGCTATTTTTAATTTTTTCTTTTCTCTATTCTATTCAAGTGTGTACACGTATGATATGGTTTGATAAATTTACAATCGTACAATTTAAATCATAATATACATACTTAAAACGTGTATAGAAACTCGTTCTTTAAGGTCTTTATTTTCAACTATGAAATAGTTTGTTCGTCAGAAAAACGAATCACAAGAAATTTGACAATGCGAAACTTTTTGATTTACCAAGCTCCTAGTTTTATTTTTCTCTCTCTTTTTTGGCAAGCAACGATATAAAATTAGCGAATACGTAAGAATAAAGTAGAGTATATAAATATTTGCGTAGTGAGGCTTATGAAAGTCGTGTTCCATCATTTTAAAAATGTTTTCTCTTGCACGGTGTATGTACATCACCGTTTCATCTTCGAAATGAAACCAGATGCTCTTTCAATTAAATTTTACAAGTCGTAAATTGTTAATTCCTCTGCACAACAGCAAAAAAAAAAAAAAAAAGGGATGAAATAAACACAAAGTTGTACATATAAATTTCAGAAAACTACTGAGTCAGCTGATTATTATTTCTTTTTTTTTAGCGCAAAATTATAAATTTCTAAATTGTATAACTTTGTTAGCTCACAAACATTATTTGTTAGCGAAATATTATTACTAATTAATAGTTTTAGTAAAGTTAGTAAAATAACAATTAGTGAATTATTACCAATTATCATTTTAGTGTCAATTTTCTTTTAGCGTGATTTTTAAATAAAACATAAAAATTGAACGAAATTGATAACAGAAAACAGAATTTTCTTGTTTGTTTATCTTATACATATTATTTTTTATATATTTTTCTAACGAGAAACGTGAGTATTAGTGGAAAAAAAAAAAAAAAAAAGAAATTCCAGCGGAATGGAACAACGACTTTGACGAGCTGACAGTGCAAAAAGTGGGAGACCTACTTCCGAAAAAAGGAATACGTCCGATCTCTGCCTTGGCGACGATGCTCGGCCCGCCGAGGTAAACAACCGGAAGTGCGTCGAAGAAGCTTGAATGCGGGGCTAGGGCTAACACGGGGGCATCCTTAGTTTCAGCTTTACGACCTTTGACCTTCAGATGATGGAATCCCCCGCAGATGAACAACGCTCGCATCATCCAGCAGATTATAATTCTCATATCTCTGTGTTTTTTTTTTTTCCAATTTCATTTTTCATTGAAACAATATTATTTCACATAGAGCAGGAATGTTTTTTCTAGCCGTGCAATCTATCGACTTATCGTGCAGTCTACAATTCTCTCAATTTCACGATATTCACAATGATCGTGCAACTTAGTAGAATTTCGTTTACCAATGCGTGATTTGATGGGATGATTTTATTTAACAACACTTTAATAACGTAGAATATTTCTTAATTAAACGTTTTATAAGATATGTATATGGCAGGTATGGAAATTTATTACATAAATTTAATATACTGCCTCTGGTAATCGAGATTCTACTGTGCTGGCTAAAATTTCGTGGAAATATTTTTGGTCAAGGCTATGCATATTATTCCGATTATTCGTTCATTTTAGTCAAGGGAAAAGAAAACTGAATTCGTCTATGCGTGTAATAATTTACTTTTTGTACTCGTTTGTGACACGCGAAGCGTTTTAAGTACATACGAGATATTGATTTTATAAGGAATGTATAGCCTTCCTTCAAATTGTCCCAAAAAATGTGCAGAAAAGAAAAGTTCTTGAAGAAAAAGTGCACGCATTCATCTAGCATCTATTTATAAAAGATAACAGGTACATTTATAAAAGAAAAATATTTATAAAAAAAAAAAAAAACAAACGAACATTCTGGAATATTTATTGTAAAAGAGATTTTTTTTTCCTACGATAGAACTACTACTATTGACTTCCTTCAGAGATTACTACGAAGTCCGTATTATGCTTCTAAATTCTTTATTAGAAACTAGGCAGTGACGCTGTTACATCTAGAAGAGAGTCGTTTTTATTGATTGTTGTATGAATAAAGAAAGTTGTCGCGTTGTACTTTTGCTTCATTGCCTATGGATCGAGTTTCAAGAAAAATATTTACTCTGATTCAAATATCTACTCTGCAAGTAGGTTTTCCTTTATTTCCTTTATTTCCTTTCCTTTATGACGTAAAATATTTTTAAGAATTAAGAAAACTTTAAGAATTTCGATGCACGGACAGCAGTTACTGATAAAATACAATTTTTAAAAAATTTATATACAAAGTATATAATTTAAAAAAATTTATATACAAAGTATATAATTTAAAAAATATATATATACAAAGCATATAACTTAAAAAATTTATATACAAAGTATATAATTTAAAAAATATATATATACAAAGCATATAACTTAAAAAATTTATATACAAAGTATATAATTTAAAAAATATATATATACAAAGCATATAACTTAAAAAATTTATATACAAAGTATATAATTTAAAAAATATATATATACAAAGCATATAACTTAAAAAATTTATATACAAAGTATATAATTTAAAAAAAATTTATATACAAAGTATATAATTTACAAAAATTTATATACAAAGCATAATTTAAAAAGTATAAGAGTATAATTTAAAAAAATTTATACACAAGCATAAAATTTGTATACAAAGTATAAAAAGAAAAAAGAAAAACCTTTTTCAATTGAAATCTACAAACGTGCAAGTATATTTCAACGGATTAATAATCTGCGTAATGCGCAATGTTCAAAAATGTGTAAAACATAAAATCAATATTGTACTTGTACATCGTGCATGGAGGTTTGCATTTCCAGTTAATAATAAATGATATCTAACATTAGACGTGCCAAGTAGAATAGCAGCTGCGATAATCATTGTTTTATGCAAAAAGCAACTTGCGTTCGCGTGCAAGCCAACTTTTGTCAATAATTCTTCAACTCTCTTTTGCCACGTATTCTTACCGAAGATTTTATTATTCTAAGCAACGTGTACGTGTAAAAGTGTTAATGAAAGTTTCAGTGGCACACTTTCAGCAGCACCGTAGAAATCCAAATAAATGAATACCTTTGAGTAACAATCACGGTAAAAAGAAACAAATTATCATATTAGTCGATGATTAGAAATTACTCTTGAAATTGTAATAATGTCATTCACCTTTGGTCAAACAAAACATTCCAAACGATCTCTATTTTCTAATTCACAATGAAAAGAAGAAAGTGACGAAGCCTAAGTAAATATAATTCGGAATTTTTCTAGATTAAATTTTCTAGATTATCGAATTTCAAATTTTATCGAGAGAGAGAGAGAGAGTAGAAATCGGTGCTCCAATTCGTACCAAAAATGATACTACAATCACTGATACAAACGTCTAATCGCAATTTAACAACACGGGCGCGTCCCATTCCTAAGTCCAGAGTGAAACTTTCTCGAGATTGAATGTGTTTTTACAAGTATGTAACACTCGTCGCGATTAAATTTCGTGCAACGAACGCGCGAACAACAGACAATCAAAAACACCTCGGTGAAGCTGGTTTGCGAGTTTCGATTTATTCCTTCGATTCGATACTCGTACAGAGACGGCCGCGAACTACTTATCCGACGCATACTTTCTCCCGTTACTTATTCCTTTTATCGTGTTCCTGTCCGTTTCTTCGCCGCGGTCATTCACGCTCTCTCCCCACCGGAGACATCTTCAATCATTTCAAGTGTACGACCATGAAATAAAATTCCTCAAGGGATTTCCGCAATTTATCCTCATCATTTCGTCTGGACGATAATGGATCTTTGCTAGGAGTCATATTTTCATCTTTCTCTCTCTCTCTCTCTCCCTTTCTAACGCGGAGATTTAATATTTAGTTCAAGAAGAGAGAATCATGACGTTGGGAAAAATTATAGGCAAAGAATGAAAGAAAAATTGGAACTGTAATTTGTTTCTTTTTTACAATTATTAGTAATTTGTTCGTTGTTTTTTTTTTTCATAATTTTGTCCTCATATATTGAACCGAGACTTAAATTTTCCTTTTATCGCCTATTGCGTTTATTAATATCTATTAATTTCATACTTTTAATGTATATATTCGATTACTAGAATTATAATAATAACATTACGACAGTCAAAGTGTAAAGAAAAAAAAAAAACAACAACAACAAAGATTTCGGTGAGAAACGAGTTAAAAAAGAAAATGAAAACCATTAATCAATCCCTTGTATGTAACGAGCGAATAGCATGATTTACATATTTCTCGATTACCTTCGAACGCACCGTTATCTGTACATACGTGTGATTGATACTAGTTCCAAGAGACCAGAAGCGGGTACATTCAACATCGACAAGTAAATTAATATCTACGAGCATGCAGAACAGCAGAAGTAAACCTGATTTACATGCACAGGATTGCATAGTCGTTACATGAAAATGGAATGAAAGTTAAAATAATAAAATACTCCGAGTGCTCGCGGATAGTTCAAGCTGCGAAACAAAATGACAGGGGGAAGGGGCGAGAAGATGCACAGACGTGCAAGAAAGAAGATGATAGGTAGGTTGATGTGTATCTTACCGTCTCCACCCTGTGAGAGGCGCGCGACGAAGATCTTCCTCGGACAATCCAAGAAGACCTAGACAAGCCAGGAGCCAGGCCATGATCACCAGAGCCGTAATCGCGGCCAGTCTGAATGGCAGTAATGCTACCGTCAGGAATGCCGTCTGAAACACGAAGCATTTCCGTTTCAACGACCACCATCAATAGTCCAGAGAAGAAGAAGATGAAGGAAAACGAAAAACTGGCAAGTTCCACAATCCTTAGGGAAAAGATCGTACGTTCAGGTATCAATTTTATCGTCATTGCCATGTTCTTCGAGCTTCTTCGTGTTCGATATTTGTGCATAAGTCGCTGATCGATTTTACCAGTTAACTGCGGAGTTTAGTTTTAACTTCTTGCGCTGGAATGACGTGTTACGCACAACGAGAATTGTTTGTCTCAAAATTGTAATATTTTCTCAGTTTTAAATAGGCAAAACAAATAATAAATTTCTTACTAAGTAAATTTACTAAATAATAAATTTATTACTAAGTAAATTTACTAAATAATAAATTTATTACTAAGTAAATTTACTAAATAAATTTATTACTAAGTAAATTTACTAAATAAATTTATTAAATATTTTTTCAGTTTTAAATAGGAAAAACAAATAATAAATTTATCACTAAATAAATTTATTGCTAAGTTTACTAAATAAATTTGTTAACTATTTTTTCAGTTTTAAATAGGAAAAACAAATAATAAATTTATTACTAAGTAAATTTACTAAATAATAAATTTATTACTAAGTAAATTTACTAAATAAATAAATTTACTAAATAAATAATTTACTAACTAAATAAATTTACTAAATAAATTTATTAAATATTTTTTTAATCTTAAATTTATTACTTCTCAATAATTTCTATCCAATAATATACCGACGAGTTCAAAAGAAAAAGAAAGCGACGAATTATTGTATACAATTCAGTCACTCGTTACGGTCCGCAATCATTTGTCAGAGCAAGTGGTTAAAGATCCCTCGCGGGACGTGTAATTAAAATCGAGCAATGACGAGTATATTTGATTCAAACATCCATCATGCATTGTTTTGTATTTTTCTAGATTGAACTAGATAAGTGATAAACTGATAAACTCTGTTTATAAATTAACGTACAAACGTGGATGATTTATCTGAAATGTTCGTATTGTTTTCTGTAGATAGATTGCGCAATACACAATTATTATTTTGTGATCAATTCTACTGATAAATTACGTTGCGACGATATCTTTTCTGTTTGGATAAATTAATGTTTTTGATCAAGATCTGAATAATACACTTTGATATTCATCGTCTTGTACTTCTATGGACGGATTATGTATGATAGAAGACAAGAGTCTTCAAGTCTTATCTTCTTACAATCTTTGGAAATACAGACGCGAGGATAGCAATAACAGATGTGAAGAGGTAACGACGATGCGAAAGTCAACCAGTAGCATGAATTAACATTAGCACTACCGTCAGGTAAAGCATAAAATTTCCATTAGAGACGTTAAAGTAAAACAAACAGAAAATCTTTATAATACAATGTAGGGTACACAAGCTTTTATTTATGTATTTCACAAAGAATTATTCAAGTCTCCAAAAATACACTGTTTTATACCTATAATAAAATATCTATAATATAATATATAATTTTATATCTATAATAAAATATCTAATGAAAATTATCATTATTATTTATATCTATAATAAAATATCTATAATGAAAATTATCAATTGATTATTTTGACCATTTTGGTAATTTTAATGTTAACACGTAATATAAGTTTGATTCCAATCTTTTCAAATATATATCTATATCATCATGTATATATGTGTGTGTGTGTGTGTGTGTGTGTGTCTTTATTTCTGTATATGTATATATATATATATATACATATGTATATTATTGCTTATACATCTTACATCACTGCACACACCTTGAGAAAATAAGAGACATTAAAGTAAAAGAAATAGAAAATCTTTATAATACAGTATAAGATACACAAGCTTTTGTTTATGTATTTATGTATTTTGTTTATGTATTTTACAAAGAATTATTCAAGTCTCCAAAAATACACTGTTTTATATCTGTAAAATATCTAATGAAAATTATCAATTGGTCATTTTGACCATTTTGGTAGTTCCATTATTAAGCAGTGTTGGTCTTATGTAAGATCAATTCCCTTGGTGCTCTTCCTAGTCACGTGATTGGGAAAGTAGGTCCTTTTCGACCAAGATGCATCATTGGGCAAGGTCAGACTCAATATTCGCAATTACTTTATAGACCTAATGGTACAGGGATGCGTCTCTCACATGACGTGTATACGTTTATTGGTCCTGGCTGTAGGATCAAGACCAGAACAAGCTGAACGTCCCCTACACACTATTCATTATTGTTTCTACAAAATGTTTTAATAATAATCCGTGTTCGTGATCGTTATCAGCTATTTACAAAGGGACTTCTGAAAAACACGACACTTGTAAAACTTTTAATTCTGTTCACACGTTCAACACGATAAAAATTAAATTAAAATTAAAATCGATGAAAAAAAATCTGATTTAAATCCAATCCGATTTTCGAAGCTACAGAAAGATATTTCCATTTGTTTGCGCAACCTACCCCGAGTAAATTTGTCGGCACCCTAAAATTGTAGTCAAAACTGGTTGACAGTTTCAACTTGCTGCAATCGTACAACTCGCGCGGCGTGAAACGTTTCGAGCAAAATTCCGAAAGTAGCAACACGCTGGAAGTAGGTCATTTACTAAATTGAATCTTGAACAAAAAAAAAAAAAAAAAGAGAAAAGGAGGAAGAAGAAAAACGTTAGCCTAGATCAAAGAAAAAGAGTTCACGGCTCTTTATTCGACGGCTACGCTGAAGATGATCCGCGCGTCATTTTTTAGTTGTTAACGGTGACTCGAGTGAAAAGAGGGCCGTCAAGCTTTTCGCTGATAAGATTAATAAAACCTGAATCAGCAAACTCTGTACATACCGTTCGAGAGACAATGAGCAACGCTGCAAATATTCGGCAAAGTTTATTTTTGCGCGAGTGTCGTTCTCGACCGTCTACACGATCGCCTGCGAGGAACGACGATAAGGACGATGACCTTTCGTGCTAATTGCTCGTATAAAAGTTATTTAACCTCCTTTCCATCGATACTTATTTGACAGCAGCCGCCACCATGCTGCGACTTTCAGGTTTATTTCCCGTGGCAATGGCATTCTCACAGCTTTTCCTATTATCTTCAATATTCCGAAGGTTTTATTCAAGCGTCTTATTCTTACTGCAGATGGGGGAATTTCACTTTCGATTCCTAAACTTACGTCATGGTCGAGACGTATGTGTTGCAAATACCTTTTTCAAAGTTAATTGAACTTACAACTTACTTCTTTTATTTTTCAAACATGTAACATAAACTTTATCTTTAATTAAATAATATAAATTCAATAAATTTTATAATATTTTATCGTTATTTTTAATAACAATTTTATTTTTATTTTACAATATTCATAATAATTTTATTCTATATGATTTCCATATAATTAATAATTTTATTATATTTTTATGTTATATCAATTCTATAATATTTTATATTATCACTCTAATAACGTTTCAGAAACAATCTATTCCAATAATACTAGTAACATCCTAATGATAATTTTTTTGCCTGATAATATATTTAATAATTTCAATTCTTCCCATACGATGTCTCATAGCCTCAGTTTCGTTTATTACTAATTCTCGAACTTAAAATATATTACAATCTGTTATTAATCACCACGCTCCAGTGACAGAAACAAACAAAAAAAAAAAAAAAAAAAAAAAAAAAGAAAATGACTGTAAATTTAAAATGGACAATTAATTAATTCAATGACGAGTTAATTCGATGAACTCTTCATTCTCGGTCGGAAGAGGAAACATTTTTCTTCAGTGGGCCAAGGTTACTGTGGAGGATTTAGGATGCTGACTGGTTCGACCGATAAAGAGTGGAATGGAAAGCCAGAGGAGGACGGAAGGGAGAGCAAAAGGCAAAAAAGAAGAAGCGAGTACCGTTCAGCCGTTCCGTTAGGCTTCATCTCACCTGTTAACTTCATTTTGTACGTCTACATACAGGCAAACGCACGTGTATTTACATAATACGCACACGAGGAACTTTCAAGATCGAGGTTACGACCGAGTAATCCTTTCGGCACTCCGGATTCCCAATAAATTAGAAAAAAAAAGAAAGAAAGAAAAAAAAAAGAAGAAGAAGAAGAAGAAAACGGAAAAGGAAAGAAACTTACATCACGCATATATCGTTTCCTTGGAATGTTTTAGAGGTTGTTTGCTTTTTTTCGAGGCTGACCTCTAAACGAACGTAAAAGGTTTGGCCATGCTGAATTATATTTCAAGTTTCACTTTTTCTGCACGGCGTCGGCGGTGATTAAGTGCTCTAACTGGGTAAATTGTTGGCCCACAATGCAGCGGATCAAATAAATGTATTTTATCCTGTTCACTCTTTCCTGCAATTTGATACCTCGACAAAAAGAAAAGACACGAGGAAGCAGGGAAAATTTAATTTCCAATGTGAAATTTAAGCTGCTAGTAAAAATAAAAATTACACACGTGCGTGTAATTAAATTGCTCGTCACATTTTTCAACCAATGTTTTAACAATTTGCGGTTCTAGAGCCTTCCGGGTCATTTTTAAATTCTAACACTCGTCACAAGTAGATCTTGACATCTTTAGTAAGACGGGGCGAAGCTTCTACAAAAATATATGCAGAGGAAATCTCAAAGACTAAACAGAGTTTTGAAGTGAGCTATGAAATCATAATTAGAATCGTACATACATGCTGTATATGTATAACGAACTAATGTTCAATGCATTCGTCTTCTCATTTCATTTCTTTCCCCTTCTCAAATAAATGTTCATAATGTACATAATGTACATATCATGTGCGACTCTTGAACATCAAGGCTATGTTTGAGTAATGCTTTCAACTCTATATCCTCCACAGAAATTTGCATATTTAATTTATTGCCTTCTCACGTAATATTTTTAATACACGTTATAATTATAAAAAAAAAAACTAACACATCTTGTGAAATTTCATCGGAGGAATCTATACTTTCCATGATTCTATGATCTTTCCATGAT